TTCAAATTCAACTTCCTGTTCTAAGACAAAGACAAGGAAGACTCCATGGGAAATTTTGAACTGCACATCTATATAAAATTTTGAAGAAAGCATTTCTTTTTTACTAAAAAGAACTTCCTGTCCTATGTGAATTTTGAGGAATATACAGATACTTACCTTAAGATGCACATCAAAGAATATTTTTACTTGAACTGAAAGTACCTTATTGTCTTCTTGTCTGTATCCACTAAAATGAGAGATGAAATGTCCAGTAGTACATCTCAGAAATGTTGGCTGCCTGCAGAGAAGTATTGCAAGCTATGGGCCTACTTGCGGTTCACTGAGTGTACCTCCTGGTCTGCTGGAAATCTGTGGGCTTTCTACTCATTCAATTTGGATTGAGTCATGTATTAAACTCAAAGCCAGCTACAGGGCTTGTGAATGCCTAAGTCTATACATCCTCCATCTGTTTCTGTGCTGAATCCTATGAAGCCAATGTTTGCATCAGATGTGTCAAAAATGCTCTATTATACGTTTATGACAGTATACACACATTCCTGTGTGTTCCTGCAACACTGGATCACGGAAGAAAATAAAAGAACTATATAAGACATTCAATTAAAATTGACCTACATTATTTTCACAGGTAGATTTTGTAACAGGAGCACCACAGAAAAGTGTCCATACTTTAAAAAAGATAATGTTTCTTTTACAGCTGTTGAGAAACTCCTCTAAAACCAGATTTTTTCAGTATCTAGTATGTTCTTAGTATACTGGATAGGGTAGTTATCTATGTGTGGGTCAGTGTATCAAAGCCACACTTATGCTTTCATAATTAAAAGCCATCTGGACCTCCTCTCAGCAGTTTGGTACTTGTTTGATGCCACCCATTTGAGGCAGTTGTACTTTGAATCTCTCCATCTGGAAATATTCCCTTTAAAATAGAACTATTTTCACAACTTGTAGCAAATTATTTGGCCCACCCTGCTGCTGCAAAGCAGGGCCAGCTACACCTAGATATTCCTGACAGATGTTTGTCTAACTTGTTCTGAGAAACATCAATCTCTCTATACAATATATTCCAGGGCTTTAAAACCTTTAGAGCCTTTCATCACAGTGTCCAATCTCAGTCTCCCTTGCTGCAGTGTGAATAATTTTTTAATGTTGTTTATGTTGGATATGGCGGTGATTCATCAATGTAGAATTACCAAATTCAGGCATTCAGAAATCATGAGGAAAGTTTTAGAATTCATATGGTAGTTATGAAGAAGTACAACGTGAGTCTTTTCCTGCCATCCAGCTTCTGACTGTTGCTTACTAATCCTTCTCCTCAACTGTGCTGAGAAAGCTAAGGTTTGCATGGCACTTGCATGTGGTTTAAAGACAACGGGAGATTAGCACTGTCCCCTGATACATTTTGAGAATTGACAGGAAATAGAAAAACCTTTCTTGATCATTGAGTCATTTTATAATGGTCTGGAAAAGGATTTTACCTCTGCAGAATATGCCTTAGGGAATAATATTTTTTTATATTTTAATGTCTTTGTGGAAATAAGAGACATCAGACAACTGAATCTTTTCTAGACATCATGTGTCCTGGTGGTAGCATGTTTGTGCTTTTGCAGTGAGAAGAAAATCTTCTAATTTAGATGATCAAATTCTTGAAGGTTTAATTTGCAGCCACAAACAAATGATTAAAGCAAAGTGTGTATGCAATATCAAAAACAATTTTTAACTCAAGGCAAAGTCTCAAGTTGTGCTGCTTCAGTAACAACGTTTTACACTACGGGTTTTGCTTTGCCCCAGTCTCCCGATGGTCAGTGGGCAAGAGCTCCTTTGATTCCTTTATTATCTTGGGTATTAGCAGAAATCATAGGTATTTCAGCAGCTCACTTTACCAATGGAGAACCTGGCTGCCTTGTGCAGAAAATGTTTCAAGTGCAGGCAGTGGTGTTCTTAGAGGTGAACAAGGATGCTAACGATGCTAGATGCTAGATGCTAACTAGATGCTAACAAAGATGCTTCAGATGCTAACTTTTAATTTCATCTGTACTGCCAGAATCTTCCCTTGTTTTATTTTGAAATTTATCCAAGGCTTTCTCTCACTGCTTAAGGACTGTGTCATAATACTGGTGTTTTCCTTTGAAAAAGGAAAGGTATCCTTTCATTTGAGGCTACTTGTCTACCAATTTAGTGCATGCACATGACTGGAGGTTTATCATTGTTTCTAATGAGGCAGACTAAGTCTTCTTTGATATGATTTAACAAAGGACTCTGTTCTGGGCAAAGCCAGTCTGAACAGCAACTTGTTTTTAAAAACATGGATTAATAAAACAGATACTGTTCTACATTTATTGCAAATGAATCCTTTTCTCTTGTACTTTTGTTTTGTACCATAATCAAATCACAGAATTTAGAGAAACTTGCAACAAAGAGGAAATGAATTCCTTTATTTCCATTCAGTGAAACAAGTCAGTTACAGATATAGCTATAAGAGGAACTCTGTTAAACATTTCTGATCCTTTCATCATGATGCTTTATTCCCAGCAGTACATGATTTTATGATTCTTTTTCTGTCAATCTGAATATTTGAGTGCTGTTTTCCTGTCTATAGCTTTTGGGATGCTCAAGACTTCTTACTTTCCTTGATCCTAAGTTTTCTCATAGAGTGATGACAACTGCTGGGATGAATATCTACTCTGTTTTTTTGGATAAAGTGTCTAACTGCTGCTTTAAATCTATCCTGAAACATCTGGGGGGTGCTAACTGCAGTTGTGCATTCTGTGTCAGCATTGTAAGAAAACCATCCCTGTTCCCCATCAGTTGCTTAACTAGCTGCTCTAGTAGTCTTCCTGTGTGTTCATTTATATATGACAAAACACATTAAGATCAACATTTTTACACACCTTTAGGGTAACTATTACTAACAGAAAACAAAAGCCTTTAACACAGTTATTATAAACAAATTAACTTTTATTTTAGAGATAAGCAAGGCAACCTTTGAGCTGTTAAAATTAAACAATATTCAAAAGATCCCTTTTTGTTCCCTGTTCTGAACTTCCCATCTTGTTCTTAAACAAGTACAGTATATTTTCCTTTAAAGAGAGAATCAAACAAGCTGTGATATTTCTGCAAAATTGTTATTAATATTTTGCCAGAATTATGACATGAATAAGAAACAACATTTGTACTAGCAAAGAGGAAAAGAAAATTCAAAAAAAGAAGTTCTAACTCTTCCATCTCTTGACCTCTTGTTCAGATGAGTGAAGATAAATTATTTATGAGGTATCAAAATTAGGAATCTGCCTACACTGAAACATCTTTCAGTCTAAACCAGACTGTGCCAGTCAAGGTCATAGCTGTGTGAGTTCTTTCCTCTTACCACATGAACCATGGAATTCACAGAACTTATGATGCATGGATGTACATCAGCTAAACCATTTCTGGGAATACTCAGATTTGTCTTAGTTCAGTAATGAGCTGTTGTGATTCAGATATAAGATGTCTCATGTCACCACATCCTACGGATACATGTTGGGAACCATTACCGATCTTTTGATGGTCAAACTAAGCAATTGTGCAACAGGTATTGCAAAAATGAGATAACAGATGTGGAGTCCAACTCAGAGGCTTTTTTTCTTATCCTGGATCCTTTCTAAGGATTTATCTGAAGATACATATGAAGAGAAATATTAATTGTAAGTGTAAAGCAATTGTAGGCTTATGAAGTTTCTTGTTATCAAGTCATCTGGAATTTCTATCTTCAGCGTGATGCTAAAAAGATGTATCAGTTCTAGGAAAATCTGATTTTAATAAACAACTGAGTTCTTTAAATCATTAAGTACCATAAAATGTTTTCTTCTGGAAAGGAGTCATAGGCCACCTCAAACAGTTCAAATACTATAGAATTTGCATACAGTGCCACTCTGCTCAGTGACAGCTGCACTGTGGTAAGATTACAGTAAGGGTGTTTAAAATGAACCCAGAAGATTTAAATCCTTCATTTGCTACCATTACACCAGTAGATGCTGAGGAACCTGGTCTTGTTCTGCCACTGCTATCACTAACAATAGAGAGGAAGGAAGTGTGGTGCTGAGATCCCTGAACTAGTTGGGGGCAAGCCAGCTTTGATTTGGATGCCTTGGTAGCTTGGCATAGTGATTAGGCTAATAAGACTAGCTGAAATTCAGGGCTCATTAGCTCTGATGTAGTGCTAGGGTCATGCAGCTATGTGATCTCAGTCCCAAGATGGTAGGTCTGCCATCCACCTTGCGCTTGTTTCACTCTGCACCGTGCTCTGTTTTGCACTGAGAGGCCATATTAGTTTGGATCTGTCTAGTTAAGTTCTTAAGTTTAAAATAAACCTGACTAATTGAAGGTCTCTGTTCATACTTGGCATATGTGAGGGACTGACATTCAGGTAGCCGGACTATGCTTTGGCTTAAGAATGACTTGTTCTAAAATTTATGAAGCTGCCAGGCTTTAAGAAAATGTTTAGAACTAATGTTTTTGTGGATACTTGTAAATAATACAGGATTGCTTTTGCTGGTGTGCACCCAACAACATTTTGATTTGCAAAGCATTGTCTGTTTGTCTCAATATCAGGCCAGTAGTGATCACTGACTGTTAGCAGTTCTGCCTCCTAGCACAATCGATACTATTTTTACAATGATTTAATTACATAAATTCCTGCAAAGGTCCCTCAGCAAACATCACCTTGTGTAATGCATATCCTAACTAGTAAAAATTTTCACGTTCTTATTGGATAAATGATTTCCTGAATCTCTCTAAAGTTTTTGCTTATACAGCTCCTCTGTCGTCTTCTAGACATAACGGGTAAAAAAACTCTAGAAGTGACCTAGGTATGAATGTGCAAAAAACATATGGACCCTTCCAGGTGAGAATTATACCCATGTGAATAATGTGGTTGATGCAACTTGAAAATGGTATTTAGGAAAACTGCGTGTGAAGATCAGATTCATGTGCTGATTTTGAGTAAAGGCTTTTACTTTGTGTTTCAGTGGCTGTTCCCTCACCAGTGCCAGCTTGTGAACCCGAGCCCAAAGCAAACGGGCATTACACATCTCCGCGGCTCTCTGTTTCCTCCCGAGCAATGGTTGTCGCTACCATGGAAGCACCTTCTCAGGGCCTGCAGACAGTCATGAAGTGGAAAACTGTGGTGGCCATCTTTGTTGTGGTTGTGGTATACCTGGTGGCTGGAGGACTCGTGTTCCGTGCCCTGGAGCAGCCCTTCGAGAGCAGGCAGAAGAATACCATCGCGCTGGAGAAGGCAGACTTTCTTCGGGAACATGTTTGTGTAACCCAGCTAGAGCTGGAGACACTGATTCAGGTAGGGCATATGAAGATAACAGTATTTCTCAGACATCAGTGTGAACAGTATGGCAGTTTTCTGATCAGCTTTACAGATGACGTAAATAGAAATTAAGTGTCTTCGCTAGAATAATTAAAAATGTGTGCAAAGAAAATTGAAACTTAATATTTGGTACACATTTTTTTGTGAGAGGTGACAAATTTTCAAAATATCTCTGTAAGTTTTCAAATGATATGAAGTCTAATTTCTTTCTCCAACATTAAACACAGCAACAAAGAGAGGCAACAGAATATGGTAGGTGGGAATTATGAAATACATATTCTGTCAAGAATTTTGAAGTGACAGGCACAGTAACTTATGGGTTTGCTGTTGAGAATATCAGGTAAATGAATGATTATGAAAGTATACAATTAAAAATAAAAAGTAATACTCATTTAAGAACTACAGATTTTTTTTAGTTCAGTTTAATATGAAAAGTTTTGAATAAATTTTGAGTAAATAAGTACTAAATATCTAGGATGAAATAACTGCAATACAGGTCTATCAAAGGTAGAGTTACATTTCATTGTTTAACATTCTAGACTTAGGAAAATATGGATCTCACTTATCACACTTCAGTACAGTATCTTTTAGGATTCCATGTAGAAACGTATCACTGAGCCTGAAGAAAATGGAGATTAGATAAGAGATGTGAGATACTGAAAGAGTATATTCCAACAGTCTCCAACATCAAAGTTCAACCTCATATTTCAGACCTGAATTTGTCTGAGCCCTCCAAGAGCACAATATATTTAGGTGTGGGGTGTCATACTGGAGCCCCATTGTGATTTCAGTCTTTGTATTGGAGAACACAGAATTGTACCCTGTTCTATTGTGTCTGTCCACCCAGTTGTGCTATATAATTAGAAGTAAATCAAACTTCATTTTACAAGGTATCACAGACATAGTATTTCTATTAGAAAACTGTTCCAGTATCTCATTGCTGTGACAACAAAAGTGTTCTGCTAGTTTCCAGCCTAAATTCATTCAGTATCTTTGTAGTTGTTCTACAGCCAACCTTCCTCCCTCCTTCCCTCTTCCCCAATTCCTTAATCGATTCCTTTCCCTTGCCCATGTGTGCAGATAGCAATGCTCTTCTGCTTCTCCTAAGCCAAACAACATTTTTCTGTTTCTTTGCAGATAGATGTGGGCACTCCCTGCTTGTACTGTATGTTCACAGAAGACAGGTCAGTTCTGAGTCAGAAGCTGTGTACCTGTGTTTGTGCAGCCTGGTACTTTAGCTAAGGAAGCAGCATAGTGCTGATGTGACTATACAGCTTTTGGATCAGGGCTGGCTTGGATCACACCCTTCATCTGTCTGCAAAAGACAGGTGAATATGCTTAGTTTGCAGTGTGAATTCTTCTGGTCAAAGATATTGGCTTACATGCATTTCTCATGGCAGTTTTACAGAGATTAGCATTTTCCTCACCTCCTTAGTATGACGTAATGATTAGAGGATTAAAGTTGGTGTTTTCTGCTTTTTTGTGTGTGTGAAGGGGGAGGGGTGGGAAATGTCACTATTTAAAGATGTGCAATATGCTTTGCTTATTGCAGAGAGTAGGGTGCAGATACAAACAGATACGAACAAGCTAAGCACCTCAACAGAAGGGTAGACTCCTGGAAACAGACTAGTAGAAATATTTTCAAATAGCTCCCCCTTCTATAGCCTAAAATATGTATCAATTTTAATTCTTTACTTTGCACAATCTTTTTTCTTCCTTTCATGTCAAAAGTGGCACTACTGAAATAATAAACAGGCTTGCTATGTGTTTAGAAGGCAAATGTTTCAAACAAATCTTATTGTCTTTTGAGATTTCAGTACATCCTCGGGCATTATCATGGTTAACTGGAAATCATCTCCAAAGATAAATTAAATGGGTTTAGTAGCTTACCATGTGAATGTCTTAAAGCTAAGTAATGTGAAATATTGAGACAGATATGTCAATAAAGAACAACTTCCTTTGGATTTTTCTGTAAGTCTGGGGGTGAACCTGGTTCTAGAGGTGTAGCTGGGTGTGCTGGTACAGAAAACTGATTGTAACTGACTTGCACAGAACAATGAACCACTGCTCAAAGATGATATCAGGGTTAACATTGTGCTTTCATGTCGATGATCTCAAAAGTGACATCTCCCTAGCTGACAGAATGGATGACTGCATTGCACCAAATGTGGCATCTGCCCTTACAGCTGTGATTTCAGACTGATGTGACAGCCTTCATGGGTCCTGGCTGTTGTGCTGTGTGCAGTTATCACCTGACTGAGGGAACTATTTTTTATTAATGTCATTTGATTACCTGATAGCCTCCAGATAGAATATGAAAAAAGAGAGAACTTAGAACTGGCGTGTTTCCTTTCATTGTGGGGGTGGCTCTAGAAGAATCTTTTAAGGGAAAGTGTCTTTGTTAAACTAATGATGGGAAAAAAAATAAATCTTACAAAGTATTCTCCTTTGGAAAATCTGCAAAGAGGATGTATGATACTGTACAAGGAAGATGTGAAAAATTCAATATGGATGAGGTGTGGTTTAAAATTTATCTTCAATAGTCCATTGCAAATTCTGTCATTGGTTGTGCAAATGTGAATTGCCCAACTGATTTGCTAAGTTCAGACAGGGAAGTGTACTCAGACTTCAGAAGAAATATAGTGATGCAAGCAGTGTAAATATCTACTAAGATACAAATCTAGATTAAAGTTATTTAAAATACATATTTATCTCATGTTTAGTCCTGATCTAATACTAACACAATGACAGAGATGTTTTCTTCTGAAGACAAAAAAGTGTTTCCCAGTGCAGTTTATCTTGTTCCACCTGAAGTTCTTACTCTGTACATTTTTAAACCTCATTACTGCTTCTGAAGATTTCTGTTGCGGTGAAACAAATTCATTGCTTACTGCCTTATGTGATCTACTACTTGAGTCAGTGGTGAATGGCAGAGTGACATAATGACAAAATCGGATACTTTATTCCAGCACTTCCGAAGATGAATTTTCAGAGTGTGAGAGAAAGGAAATGAAGAACACAATGAAAGAGAATGAAACTTCAGTTACTTAACTGAATTTAACTGTACCGTACCCACTTGAAAATATCACAGAAGGCAACTGGACTGAAGTGATTGGATATAAAACTGGAAAAAAAAACCATTAGTAATTACATATATTTACATGGTTATGAGAAATGCTTTTTTTCTCTCATGGCATAGCTACATAATCAATGAATATATAGGTGTTATAATTAAGAAATACACAAGAGTTTGGCTAAGCAGGTTATTACACCAAAAGGAATAGATAAAGGGCTTATCCTTGTCCTAGGCTTGCTGGAAAACTCCTAATGGAGGGATCTCCAGAAGGAGATCCTTCCCCCCAGGGTCTAGGAGAGGCGGAGCCAAGCTCCACCCCTTCCAGCAGCACAGGTGAATTGCCTTCACCTGTGCTCCCAGGGCTGATTCATTGCTTGCCTCAGGTGATCAATCAGAGATTCAGGCCACGATTCAGCAGTTCCCACACTCATGGCATAAGCTTATTTGTAGAGGGTATAAAAAAAAATAACCTTGCCTTTGTAATAATGCACACTTGGTGGTTTTATGAAGAGGTTAAGTTATTTACAACTAGGAGAGGCAGGCAAGAAGACCTTCAGTGTGTTTTGGTGTAGTAATTCCTGTGGGTATGATAAAGGTATTGATATTCTTTCTGTGTAGTCTGTGCACCGTACGTGGGCAAACGCTTTTGTAATGAGCCCCACTTCTGTAATAAGCCCTGCACCATGACATAAGGGCGTGGCTTGCTGCTTTAACAAGTTATTTACATAGATTATTGGTGGCCTGTTGTTTTCGTGTTTTTTTTTTCTCTTTTCCTTCAGGGTTTTGTTTAGGAGTGGGAATGGTTTTAGTAAAATAAAAAATAAAAAATCACCCACTTAGGAACGTAATCATATTATCCATGTCCACTAATGACTACAACAACTCTAATGAGTTAGACTGTAAGCTGAAAAGGAAGTGGAGTTTGAAACGTGTAAGTCAGATGTTACTGGCTAATTATGCTAGGAAGAGTTCATATTTCTGATAGGCACTTTTGATTAGAGTTCTGAACTACTTTTCCCCTGAAGATAAACAAGAGAGGGAACATCCTGTGAAGATATCCTGGAGTACAAGTCCTATGAGGAGTGGCTGAGAGAGCTGGGATTGTTTAGTCTGGAGAAGAGGAGGCTCAGGGAAGACCTCATTGCATTCTACAACTTCCTGAAGGGAGGTTGTGTGAAGAGGGATTTGGCCTCTTCTCCCAGGCACTGAACAGGACCTGGGGAAGTGGTTGCAAATTGTACCAGAGGAGGTTTAGGTTGGACATGAGGAAAAACTATTTCTCTCAGAGAGTGGTCAGGCACTGGAATGGCTGCCCAGGGAGATGGTGGAGTTGCCATCCCTGGCAGTGTTCAAGAGGCATCTGGATGAGGAGCTGCAAGATGTGGTTTAGTGCTTGTGGTAGCAGTGGTAATGAGAAGACGGTTGGACTAGGTGATCTTATAGGTTGTTTTCAACCTCATGATTCTATGATTCTATGTGAGTGATGTTCTATTGTATGTAAATGACAATTTCCTTCTATGATTCTATATTTCAGTTTCAGTGTAGGAAACAGACTGAGCTGGGAACGGTGCAGAACTTTGCAGCTGTTCTGTAGATATGTTGCTTCGAGAACTCAGCTGAGACATTTACAGGGAGTAGGGACCTCTCTGGACTTAGATCTGAATATTTACAGATGGGAAATGCGAAAAATTTCATGATCTGTGTGAAGTGAGAGAGTCTTGCCATCAAAATTGTCCCTGTTTGAGTTTTGTGCAAGTCTTAGTTTAGCAGGATACATCTGTTTAGGTGAACTCCTGGTGATGGTGGTGGTAAAGGGATCCTTTAATCATTCCATGACCAAAAATTGCATATTAATTGCTGGTAGCTGCAAGGCTTCTCTGCTTTTCCTGCCCACTTCCTGTTCTCCTAATACATTCATCACTGTGTACAAAGTGCTGTGTATTTATCAGATGCAATGAAGTAGCTGGGTATTTATAAATGAATGATGTCAGACAAGCTTTAAAGAAAAAGAAAATGATTTGTTGTGGTTGTGAAGGGAGCCTGAGACGCTGCAAGCTACCTAAGGCAATGGGAGATGCTCCTTCACTGCAGCATTCAGTGTTTGGCCCTAACAGACTTGCTAAACTGTGCAAACTCAAATGTGTTTTAAGTGTTGCAATTAGCTCTATGACATTCACACTCGCATGGGGAAGGCAACCAGCATTCCTTGACAGAAGTAAGGTGCCAGGGTAGCTGACAGCATGTCATGGCCTATTTAAACAGGCAACCTGTCTGTTATGCTGATTTATGCTCTTCTGGGTAAACAAATGATCTCTGCTTTCACAGCACCTGCAGTATGCCAACAGTGGTACAGAAGCCCTTTCAAAGGGTTTGGTCCTAAACACTTTCTTACCCTAAATTCTTATTTCCTCACATACGGACAGGCACTGAGGTGCCCTGCTGGCTTCATGTAACTAGTCCAAGTCTCCAAGTCTGGAGTTTGCTCATCCTGTAACTTTATGGTCAGCTTTGCCTGACATGCAGAAACAGTATTGAAAAGAGTTGTCCTATACTGATCTCCTTAGATACACCTCACCTCTATATTTGTCTGCCTCTTCTCCTCCAAATCTTTTCCCCATGTTGGCACTAGTGTTTTTGGCAGTAATGTTTCTGAACTTGCAGCGCGGGAGCAGGTTAGCTGATACTAGGCCAAGCAAAAACATGTAACTTTCAGCAGGTGCAGTTCTGAGTAGACTCACATTAGCTTAAGCTGACTTTGAAGCTGCACTACTCATACTGCTTTGCTGCTAGAAGTGGCTTCTCTGACCTCTTTTTGTCAACCATGTGATGCTTGCAGACATTCTCCATTCCCTCTGTCCCCATTCTCCATGCTCATTCTTTGTCCCCCAATCCCTGATTGCAAAGTTGTTTCATGATGTTTCCGCAGTTATTTGTTCCTTTTAAATGGCGTATTTATATATAATTTTTACTTTAGTTAGCATAAAATATAAAAAACCTTATCAATTATTAATTGCTTGGGAAATAAAATCTTTGGCTGACTAGCTTCAGTTGACCTCATGAACATTATTTGTATTTACCACCTTTCTTGCTGCTTCCAACCTCAGCTGTTCACACTGGGGAATTTCTTCCTCCGACAGTTACTGCTGCAAGAATGTTATTTATGGATCTCTTTTGGTGTTGGACTTCTTCTTCTCCAGTGCTTTGTATCTTTTGTCATTTATCTATGTATTGTGTCTTTATTCCATTTCAGTATCTGTTTGGTTTAGTCATATATTCAGATCTTGTGTACAGAGGATACTAATATACTTGGAGCAGGTATTAAAAAGTAAATCTAAGCTGTTCTCATGGCCCTAATAAATTATTTTTGGAGCCTATACTTATTTGCATTGGATACTGTAAGGCACACACAAGGCTGATTTGTTGTCTTTTTCTTTGCAGCATGCTATTGATGCAGATAATGCAGGAGTCAGTCCCATAGGAAATTCCTCTAACAACAGCAGTCATTGGGACCTTGGAAGTGCCTTTTTCTTTGCTGGAACAGTCATCACAACAATAGGTATGTTTATGTGTATCTTTTAAAATACATAGTCAAGTTGAGAGCTGGACTACAAGTAAATTTGTGGAAGGTAGATCACAAAGAAGTGGCTAATCTGTATTTTGGTTCTCAGGAGGTGTGCCTCGTTGTGTCTCAAGGGCATTGGGCCTCTGGGTAAATAATCAGAAGCTGTTTCCATAATTAGGGTGGAAAAACAATGCTGAACTGAAAACAAGCATCACTGATGTAGCTGAGGGTTTATTATGCTGTTCTTAATGTTAGGGCAGGTGAACTCAATTATCATGAAAGATCAAGTATCAGTACTAGATGGAATAACTGTTATATGTTGTTGGCAATTTGAATTTTAATATTAAAAGTTAATTCACCCATGAGTAACTCTCTTTCATCGATTTTGATATACACTCTTAAATTTGGTACAAAATTACTTTTTTTGTACTACTACTTGTAACTGGAAATGTATCCACATAATTAACACATTATATCTTAAAAACCTTCCTTATTTTCATACCAGTAGTATGTTACTGGAAGGAATGTCACAAACTGTAGATTATGCAAAAACAAAAGCAAAAAAAAAACAAAACCAAAAAAAAAAACAAAAAACAAAAAACAAACAAAAAAAAACCCCAAAACCAAACTATTCTGGAATTCGTGGCCTTGAAATATTTTTACTTTTTTTTTCTGTTATGTGAAGAGTGTTCTAATAAGCTTTTCTTGAACCACTGATTTTACTAAATTTGTTATTCAGGCCCTTGTCATTGTGTCTCCTGTATATTGTGTCCAATGTATTTAGTGTCTTCATCTCTGAATGCTTGTGCTAGGTGTGCTAGGGTTTCTGTCCTGTCTTCTGTGAACAAGTTACTCAAAGATGAAGAAGTTGGATTTTTATTATTCTGTTCTGAAGGAAGATAAGATAACTGATATCACTGGTGGCAAAGTTAATCTCCTGATAATCATACACTGGCTTTATAATTTTAAGCTTGATTTCAGTGCTGTCTTGATTAGGAGTCAAGAGTTTGGAAATCATTGGAAAATTTTTTGGCTTTTTATTTGCGTTGCTTTTAAGTATTCTTCTCACTTAAATCACGAGAGTCTGATTTCTTCAAGTTCTTTACATGGCTAATGCAACAAAATAACCTGGTGCGTTTGCAAGACTTGCTGTGTTGCCCAAACAGTAGAGTCCTGGTGGCTTTAGATCAGTTGGAGTCTTGTGCCTTTACTTTGTTGTCAGGATGAGGATGAAAGAGTGATTACATAAAGCATACTCCTTTGTGTGGTCCTCTATATGCTAAGCTACATTGCCATGTATTTTTAATGGCAGCATTACAAATAAAACCAGGTGGTGGAGATAAAGAAAACATTTCTGAATCAAATGTTTATAAAACCCTCCCTAAATATTTGTTTACTCAGTAGACCCAAGTGGCAAGCTTTTAAATTACTCATTGAAATAAATGCCACTTTATAGGCATAGTTTATGTAAGCATATTCTTTGGCATCTGCTATTAAAATAACTTACTGAAAAGAACTTGGATGTTTGCCCATATCTGCTTTAAGTTCTCCATGAATGAGATTTTTAAAGGCTGCATGAAGTCTACGTATTGTGTCTGGGCAAGAAAATGGTTTTATTTTACTCACCAGAGCCCTGCTAGTATCCCTGTTATGCAGACACTCAGTCGATTACTTGGTCGTTGTCAGTCCACTAGTGAGTGAAGCCTGAGTTTTCTCAGACTTTTAGGAGAAATCTGGGATCTCGGATGCAGCTATGAAAAGGACTGTGGTTTGGAGCATAGATAGTGTTGTGAGTCAGCATAGTCCTTTCTCCATCATGTGAGACGGATTTGTCCAGTGTTCGTGTTACAGAATGCTGGTTATCACAATCATGTTGTCTCTGGATCACCTTCAGATCAAACCATCTCTGGTGTAAATTAAGTAGGACTGTAGTATATATTCCTCATATTCCTGTTCCTAAATACATTCTGCTACCTTCCTATGTGTTGCAAAATCTCAAAAATTCTTTCCTGTGGCTTTAAGAGGCAGTACAAATGTGTTTTCTTTCCACTCGTCAGAGTGGTGAGGGGAGAGGAAATTATGAGCTAACCACTGAAAATGAGTCTTGTCGGGTGAATCACACTCCTGTCAGGAAATAATTGACAAAGCCTGAGAGGAGCAGCAGTGTGCAGGCACCACGCTAACACTGCATGATCTTTGTGCCATGATAAGTCAAGCTAGATTAGTTAATCACAAAACAACTTTAAATAGGACCTGAATTTATAGAAGAAATGGGTAACTGAGTATACAAATGAAGAACTAAATCTCTATGGATAGCTTGCCTGGGAAGTGACATCATTCCATGGAAAATCTGTAAATAGAAATCACATGTGGAACAAAGGCATCTCTGCAGTAACAGCCCATTAGTTTTTCTAAAAAGCCCCATGTAAGTTTGAAGTTTCCAACAACTATTTTTCTCTACAGGGTATGGAAACATTGCCCCAAGCACTGTTGGAGGCAAGGTATTCTGCATCTTGTATGCCATCTTTGGCATTCCTCTGTTTGGCTTCTTGCTGGCTGGAATTGGAGACCAACTTGGAACAATCTTTGGGAAGAGTATCGCAAGGGTGGAAAAGGTTTTCAGAGTAAGCTCTGTCAGTTTTTTGCTTCCATTGTGTAACTTGCTTTTAATTCTGTTGCTGTTACCTGCAGTCCTTTTTACATGTTGGGCACCTTGAAGGATTTACATTCCAAGCTGAGAAGATAATCTCCTTAAAAGCCTTTGTAGTCAGTTGAAAGAAATTGACTTCTCTAGATGGTGATGCAGGAGTAGGCTCTGTATTTCCTTTCTGAGGACCCATCATCTTTTCAATGACTATAGGCTATCTCTGGAGAATATATCTACTAAAATAGTTTCTATACAAGGACTAGTTTAAAACAGCCTTCCAAACATCACAGGTTATTTTTGACAAGTATATCTGATCACTGAACATAGAAGTTAGTATAATATCAGGTGAAAGAGGGATGCTGAGTAGGTCCTGACTGTAGTATATAGTAAACTTAAAGGACTTGGAAATCAGGGTTACTGGAGTAAATACAAACTTGGAAAGAGAAATACCTGACTGATACACTTTCGCTGCGAGAGACCGATGCCCTGGAGTAGATTTGCTGGTAAAAGAACTGGTACAATACCTGTACGTAGAATTGTTTTCATTGTGTTTACCCACTCTATGTACCTTATGCACATATACTTCTGCATGGATTTTCCAGATTTGAATAGGTCATATAATTTCCCTTCTTCTAACTGCTACCATCTATTTTTTGGGTCTGTATCACCAAGAGCAATTCTTTTGCAAGCACTGCTGCAGGCCTGGCAAATGATAATTTGCTAATTTGCCGATGGTTCACTTCAGGGATTCTCTTTTTGAAGCATAACTTTTAGAAGTGACCTGTGGTTCCTTTGGAAGCAGCATAACTGGAGGTAAGTCTTTCCAGGGATGGAGAAGATGAAAAGCTGTCCAAACTGGTTAGCGTAATAGGCATCTATTTCTAAAACATTCCCACAGATGAGAGCAAATTACTTGTAGCTGTATTTTAAAGGAAATAATTGAGTATTAAACTGGAGTATGAGCAATTTCCTTTTTAATTAACTTACTGTGAAGTGTCCCAGACTAGCCATAAGGAGTGTCTCTCAGACTAAATGTGGAAAAAGGTGGCTGGTTGATTACGGGTGAGTAAGCATTTATATGCCTGACTGAGCACTTGAAAATGGCCTACATTTTTATGAACTAAAAATAAGGTTATTGAAAGGTGACTGGCTGGTTCTGCAAAAACAAAAGTAGCCAAGATCACTACTTTCTTTTCAGGCTAGCTTCTTGTTACTGTGCCTACTTTACCTGAAAGGAATCTTGGAACCTTCCAGACTGCTTCTGCTCCCCCAAAAGTACAGTAGTTACAGTGTGAGTCAGAAAGCCTTTGATTAATTCTCAACTGTACTACTGGCTTTCTAGGTGACTTGGACAAAACCATTAAACTGTCAGCATGATAGTTTACAAATAAAAATAATACATGTCCTATTTGAAGTATTTTGAGATTCATAGATGAATGCTGATACTAATAATTAATACAGAATATTGCTCTTCAGCACATAATGGGAGTTCTTTTGGTATTAAAAGTACTCCTTTCTTTCCTTGATTTAATGCAGTTGCTTGTTTTTTATAATCATCCAAACTATTCCTTTTCCTCCTTGGTATTTTGAGAGCCTCCAAAGCAATGTATATATCCCCAAGATATGTTTATTCCTTATATATATGCATATATATATATATATATGCATAATATATACTTTATTATTAGCTACTGCAAATTATAATAATCATTATAATGATAATATCTATATAAATTATTAATATGTTTTGTTTGCATAATCGGAAACCATGTATGTTTGAAACTAATCAGACAATCCAGAAGTGAAGCAACCGTTCTTGATTTAATTATGAGCAGTGAGCAAAACTTAGCTCTACATGTAGTTTTTGTTATTCAATGTGTAAGTCTTCTTACTTTGTCTCCATGAGGAACTCAAATGCAACATATTTGTGGGTGTAAAGCAACCCACTACAACTAGAGAAGACACAAAAATTTGCAGAATACTTATAATGAGACTGAAAGGTACAAATGTAGGCTAAGAAAACACTAGAAGAGCTAAGAAAATATTGAGTGGTGTGCCTCAAATCCTTTGGAGGCTCACTGAGTATGTATCAGTATCTATTGATATTATATACTGCATTTCTAAAAGCTTTTGAGAAGTTTTCTCATCAAAGGGTATAAGAAAATCAAGCTGTGGTAAGGAAAGAGAGAAGATCTCACACATCAGTAACTGTCTGAAGGAGAAATGGAGATTAGGAGTAGGGCATTGGTGTGAATCAGCTGGAGTCCTGTTGGAATCTTACAGTTTTGACAGGAACGGTCTGGAGTGACTCAGACAAGATGAATATGCAGATGACAGAATCTACAGATGACAGAGTCTGCAAATTGCATCTCTAGATATTTCAGAATAGCTAAAATGAAAGGTGCAAAATGATGATGATAAATGAAATCTAGTGTTAGCAATACAAAATAATGCTGAGTTCTTTAGTTTGAGGAAAGAAATTCTAATATATTTAGTCAGAGATGACAATTGTATTTCACTACTCCTAGAGGGACTTGGGATTACTTTTTTTACTATTGTGGTTGGTTCTTTGAAGATAACTGCAAAACCTAGTGGGGGTTAAGAAGTGTAAGAGTGTCAGCAAAGGGGCTGAGAACCAGATGGAAAAGATCCTTCTGTATCTGCACAAATCTATGGTGCAATTGCACTGTGAGCCCCCCATTCAGTTCTAATAATCCAATTTCTAAAACAATTAAGAGAAATTAAAAACAGTACTACGGTCTGCACCTGCAGGCCTTGTAGCTGAATCTCTAAGGCTGCATTCACTACTTACCCATATTATTTGCCCATTCTAATGGGTTCTTGCCTCTCTAGAAGATCATGGGCAATTTGGGACAGTCCAGCTTGTACATTTGAGGAAGGAACTTCATAAGGTCTTATCAAATAGGCACTACAGCCAGAGTGTTGAGAGAATATTTCAGCACAGGAGCTGGACACATGCCACTGCATGTTTTGATTATAAAAGTAATGTTGCCACTATTTCAGTGTGTAGATAACCAGAAAAATAACTATTTACTTCTCTGTGATTAAGGAGGGTTGGAAGTACTTCACTGCAAAACAGTGCTTTGGGAAAACAGGAACTTTCACATATCTTTTTAGGAAAGGGATGCACTGTACTGGACTTCAGAGAGGAATCCTGAACATCACACATTGGCTAATTTATGCTGTCTCTCCTACTGTAATAATGCTGCTTCATAAAAGTAAATAAGCATCAACCAGGTCACAGACATAAACCAAAGTATCCCCTGCACAGACTCTCCCTATTCAGCTACTGATTACTCTGATATAGGAGTTAGAAATGGTGATCTTTTTTGTGGCCCTTCCAACTTGGGGTATTCTATGATTCTATCTTCAATAACCTGGACAGAAACTATCTTCAAATCTGTTCTCACTTAGACACAAATGTGATGGTTAAAGAAATGTATGTACAAGGTCATTAAATGCACTACATATTCATGAATCATTCAATATCTGGGCTCGGTGCTGAACTGTGTTCCAGGCTCATCTGAGAAAATCAAGTAAAAACTCAACGTTTAATTGAAAAATTGATATTTTTTGTAATCATTTTCAGCTAGCATTGACAATATAGAAATTAAATATATGTTGAAAGGTGGCATAAAACCATAAAAATAGTGCTGTTACCTTGCATGTGGGGGGGATCTTATGAATGACCAGAGGCTGTTTCTATAATAAACAGCAGAACAAACTCCATTCTTTTAGATTGTTCTATACACACAGAGGTTGAAAGCATCTAAAGATAGAAAGGGTAGCGCTCCAGAGTACAAGCTACAGAATGCACTGTCATTATCCTGAGTTAAATATAGGCTGGATTCAGATAGTCTTTATTCAGACTTTGTAACAAGTCTTTAGTTCTTAACTGGAAGTAGATCGGATGACCATAACCAGACAGATCTTCCCTCAGTTTGCAGTTCGGTACAGGTGCAGACATTGAGTGTGAGCACATCATGCTCCTGAGAGGACTTCAGGATTTTCTAGCATGTAAAGTGAAACTGCTGGGAGCATTTCCTAGTCTTGATGACTCCTTTCATTGCTCTAGCTTACTGCAGCAGTGCTGAGGACAAGCCAGGCAGTACAGCAGGTAGGGCATTGATGACCATACAGCAATGTAAGTAAGCAGTCAGAAACATGGTTGGTGGCAAGACTTCTCCACTGAAGCTTGTGCATCTAGAAAGTACAGTACTTTGTGTAGAAATACAGTGTGTCTGTAAGCAAACCATAATTCACTGAATGAGAATTATCAGAACAGGTACATCTGATGCCTGTCTTTCCAGTGTTAAGCTTAAAGAACTTGTTTGCCTGTTGATCTCTTGAGAAATGATGTGCTCCAGATATGAAAGACCTGTAAGTGTTATGGAAATTACATGCATTTCCCCCCTTCCCCCAAAAAACAAACCAGCGATGGGCTTTATCTGAACCTGGAAAAAGATACAGGGAAAAACAGTTGTTGTTGGAAGTTGGGATGGGAGTGGGGCAGAAGTAGAAATCCCACTGAGCCACTGGGAAGCTTTCTTTAAGCAAATTCTAAAGGTTTACCTTCCTAAACATTGTTGTTTGCCTTTCTGGGTAGATTAGATCTATCCTAGCTATTCTTTCTCCTAGAGAATAAAATTCTTTTTAGTGATTTTTGGCTGCTTTATTCTCTTTTGTTATTGTACCAGTGACAGGATTTATCTTTATGAATTCCTTATCTAAAAATGAGTGCAACAACTCAAGGGAAAGAAACTTTGTAGAGGAGAGTAACTGGTCCAATGGAGCTGTAAGAGATTTCCTTTTCTGCTTCTCTACCGGGTTAATGCCATAACTCAGAACCCCCATCTGCTCCCTGCAAGGCATCCATCACTCTATACTCCGTATCTTGCAGACCCATACCAGCATTAGTTCTTTTTTTAGCAGATATGTTAAGCTTTTAGATGATAA